CAGTTAGGAAACACTGCGTAGAGCTGTGCAGAACACAAATACAACACATTGACTGGATTCTTTCTGAAGCTACGCTGGCTGCTAAAATGTCAATACCTGGTTAATAAAAGAAGAGTAACCTTTTGTTCTCTTCCTGTTCACAAAACACAGGAGTCCAGAAAAATGCAAGCACTTCTGGCCTGTACTTTCTCCTGAGCCACAAAAAGCTGAAAGCTCCTCCATCCCAGAGCAGAAAGCGAGATGCCAGTCTCCTCCCCCATCAGCAGAAGGTTTTCTGGGCACCGGTCTGACAGAGGCCTTTGTCCCTCACCTGTGAACATTTTCACAAAGTCAGCACTCGACATGCTCATAACCACATCAGCTGTCCCAGGAGGCTTTCCAAAGCCAGTGCTCCCACCCTTGTTCTTCAGGTCGATATACCACGTGCCTCCACCGTCACCTGCACAGAGAACGAAGAGAGGTGACGAGGCAGCAAAGGCAGCAAAGGTGCTCTGCCCTCCTCCCATTTGGAGGCAGCCAAAGCCAACCCCTGGCAGGTGACCCCAGCCCCACGTGCCCATGTGGGGACACGGGCAGGAGAGCCCAAAGGCTGCCCTTCGCTCACAGACCTGGAGGCAGCGGGTGTTTCAAGGAGACCCTGGGAGCACCCCTGCCTGTCCTCACACCAACCCTGTCAGGGAGGGCAGCGACAAAGTGACAAAGGCTCCACCTACGGCAGGAGTGGCAGCAGCTCCCTGTGCCTGCTGGAGGTCCTCAGAAGGAGCATCACAGCACAACAGGAGAGGAGCTGCTCTGTTTCGGCATCCGCTTGAAAAGGTGAGTGCTTCTGTTTGAAATCACCGAGTGCCTTTTGCTAGGGAAGGTTTCACATTTGATGCTCTTACCAGATAATTCAAACTGAAAGACGCCCTGAGTACTTCTCACGTTCTCTTCCGTCATGGCCCCCTGAATAACTCTGAATGTTTCTGCAACAGGCCCGGATGGCTTGGCTGGAGCAGATTCTGTCTTCTCCTCTTTCAATGCTTGGGCAGCACCTGCAAGAATTTAATTCTTCTGCAAAGGCTTCTAAGCTGTTAATCGATTTACTGCTTTTGTTGCCAATTTTTGGAACTCTCTAGATATGGACAAAGAGTCATGTTGAGAAAGGAGACATTGGTTATTCTGATCAGGGTGCAAGGTGGAAGTTTTCCACAAATCAAATACACCAAGGAGTGAAAAGTGAGAGAATTTACACATTGAAATCTACATAAACCCACTTATTTAATACATAGTTACCACCTAGCTATTGCATAATTGTTTAGCTTGCACGAGGTGTGCCACTGCCTGTGAGGAGGTGTGGGTTCCTCTTCAGCGTCTCTGGTTTTCTCTGATGGTTGTTTGGTGAGGTACCCTATATTCAGTTTCCTGCAAAGTTCAGTTCAGGGCTCCCAGAACCCCAGGATGAGTGCCAAAGAAGACATCATCTTTAGACAATTGCCAAACTGGTTGTAAAACACAAAAGCTTTCCACAAACATCGAGCAACATCTGCTTAACACAACTGATAGCATCTTTTTACACTCAAAAGAGGGGTTAAAGGTGAGAATGATGCTATCCGGTTCCATCTGCAACAGAGATCAAAGGAAGGGACAGGGACAGCGAATTCTGCTTAAAGATACAGAGAATTCTACTTAAAACACAAAGAATTCTGCTTAAAGACATCAATTTGATCAGCATTCTACTTTACCACAGTGAACATGCACATTTAATAATAACAGACAGCTTTTGCAATTTATGAAGCAAATCAAAGTGAACAGCCTATAAAATGCTGTTGAAAGTCTATTAGGTGCCTACAGTATCAAAAAATAGTTAGGTCTGTAAACCATGCAATTTTCATGCTTCATCAAACTGTTTCTGGTATAATTTAGCAAGACAGATCATATGACACTCCTACAAAATGTGCTATTTTCCATTTGATTTCTTTTTCCAGCAATATTTACTTTTATTGGTCTTTAAATTTTTTTAATTGCCTTTAAAAAAATATTTTTATTGCTTTTTCCAGCAATATTTACCTGTGACCTTCAGCATAAAAAAGGATTCTTCAAAATAAGGCGCGGATTATAAATCACGAAGGTTTCAAAGTCCTGCGGAAGGTAACATTTTTTCACTAGCTTTGAATACAGAGGCTCTGCAGCCACTTCCATAAATCTCACCCACCAAATGAGAGAAAAGGGCTTTTGTCAAGTAGCTTGAATGAAGTCCAAGTTCTTGGGAGAAAAAACAAACCAACCAACTTGAAATCCAAGTGGCATTCATTATCACCAGAATTGATCAACTTGTACATACAGTGCTTTTCCCACCACATCTATCTACCTTCACTGCTATCATCGAAACTAGAAACCTCGTAAATCTGCAAAGAAAAATATTTGAAGATAGGAAACCATGTCATTAGCTGATATATAGTAATATAGACATTGTTCTGGATAACGAAAAAAAAGTTATGAGTTAGGGAATTGCAACCAATTTAATTAAATATCATTTAATTTAACTATGTAACTATTTTGTTACTAAAAAATCGAAAAAAACCCCACTTAAAACTTACCTCAACTCTCCTCTACAGTCCTTACTCATTTCTAATAAATTCTTAGATTTTGTGCCAAATTTGTGAATTCCTTCTACTAACAGTATACTCATAAGTGTCCTTAACTGTTTGTCCTAGTTAGGACAACTGAGACCAGTTCATCATGGTATGGGTGTAACCCAAAACTGTGTATTCTATA